GCTGTTAAAAGTAATGGATTAGAGCTGAACTATCAAACACAGACGGGATCCTTACAGTTCTTATGTGAAAAAACTTACTGCAACTTACTGCCTTACTTCAGTATCAGTATAGTTAATTAACTACTGTAACTCAAAAACTGGATTCCGTAGCAGAAAGGGCAGGACGACCCGTTGATAAGACGAACCTCTCGCAGCGACGGAAACACACGTAAACATCACTATAATGAGTCATGCAACATTTTAATACTACTGACTTCATGTTGACAGTTACCAATAGTACGCAGTGATTCTGCTGATGCTAGCAGATCTCAGCGTAAATAGTTATAAAGTCCAAGGCTGAAACATCTTGTCACGGAGGATTTTCAAACTTTACGTATTGATTTGTAAGAAAATTGAAAGTCAAAAAACCGATAACTGGTTTAAATCAAAGAAAGCACGTAGAGAACGCGGAGCGACCTATTAAGACGGGAGCTCCTGATAGATGTGTCGTGCGACCACTGGCTTGTCTCCTTGATGCTTTTAATTCCTCTTCGATAAGGACGACTGGTATGGTCGCTCAACAGAACACAGCAACAGGAACACCTCACCCACTTAGGATAATTTTGTTAACCTGAACTCTAACGATAAAATAAAAATGAGCTGAAGCCTTGGTCTTAACCCTAGCCTTACAATACGCCTAAACCCTACAGTGAACACGAATCCAAGCCGTAACCCTTAAGATCTCTCTGACCCTAACCCAAACTCTAACCTTATTTCCAAACTTAAAGTTAATTCTGATCCTCACTTTTATTCTAAATCTACACTTTCCGGAGTTAGACGCAAGGTCACATATATTGTGAGTAGTTCCTGTTTCCGTGTCCCGCTTAGATGGCCGTACAAGTCATGCTTATCCCTCTTCCAAACCATTTTTACGAATAACATACTATTTGACCGTAATTGATTTATTTACTTCTTATAGACTACTCTCGGTTTAGGTATGTTTGCATTTCAATTCAATCGGGAATTTTTGTCTGTCCGGAGGTAGGTAAGTTCAGGGATCGGTTTACACGCCGGCCTTGCTAGCATGCCAACTGCTTACTGTGTCACCACGGTTAAACAGAACTTCAAGTCTGTGGGTTACAAATGCTTTCGTGAGTTAGAGGAAACGATCCGTCACGTAGTTAATACATTCAACTAACATTCGGATGAAGGCATCAACACACCGGGCACTCCGACGCACGGCCACTGCTAAATAATGCCTAGGAATCAGCTCGTATGCTCCACCTGCTTATACCTATTTAGCAATCCAGCACAAATTTTATATGCTCTCGGCTGAAAGCACCTAACTTTCAGTCTCTTAAGGGCCAGATGTAGTTTATTTTCTGGCGGTGACCCTTAAAAATTAAAATGTTGGAAATACAGGCCACTGAATAGAGTGGTGTGGTTACCTGCAGCCCGCAGATTGTATATTACTCCCTTTACTACCAAAATACAAATGGCTATTTCGTTCTCGTTAATCTTTTTGGACGCACAATCGGTATCCTTTTTGATCACTATTTGATAACCGCCTACAAACACTCTCATTAGGGTTTCGTGGTGCAACAGCGCGATGTACGATCCTCCAAAATATTTCATACCTCCATTACGATTGGCAGAACAGTAGATTCGCAAATAAATTCTCAAGCGATGGACTCATAAACCCCCCAGTGATTCAAGCTCCCCGATTCGAACTCCAGGCTGCCGAATCTTCCCGCTAGATCTGTCCCAGAGATGTAGGCTAATGAACCAAAAATGTTTATCGCTCACCGGTTTATTTTTCTACAATCCTTTTCAGCATATCTTACCATGTATCTATGCAGGCACATAATTCTAAATATATAAAAAGAGAAAGAAGGATACATCCATAAGTATACGGATTTAGATGTAACAAACGAACCTCTCGGGGTCAAGTAGAAACGGCCATGGCAAGTCCCTATCAGTTCTTTGAACAGGCGGACGTCTAGTGGCATACACATCAGCCTGCCGCAAAATCTTTTATTATAAACTGTTTTAGTGAACTGCTATGTGTAAATTTTTCAGATGACAATTTGAGGAACCGGTTCCGAAAATATATCCCATAAAGATTATATCCTGCCAAAAAATAAATTATTATTGACTGATGAACGCTCACCGATCGCATTTGGACCTCATTCGTGCCGTTCTAAACTGGGCTGACTGTAAAGTCCTAAGGCAGATTGGCATCGTCAACAGGGACAAGGGAGACTAGAGTGGTTATTTTTGGTTTATTAGCCGTCAACAGGAACCATGCATAACCACAGGCGGTGCACCACCCGAGGCTCAAATCCGCGACCGTTTACTTAAAATTTAAACGCTCTAACCATTGAATTAACGATATTTCTAATTGTTTAAGGTATTATTCTAGTGCTATTAATAAACGCAGACTTTAAGTCCAGAATTCAGGCATAGCAGAAAAGTTCATTTTCAGTAAGGTGTTTTAATCAATTATTTTGTTTGCAGTCGGTATACAGCAGTTTGTAGAAACTAGCCACTTTTTGCTTCTGCTACTGTTGACAGCGTTCGTGCGAATTAACATAACTACTTATTGAATGCCCCTCTAACCAAAGAATATAAGTTATTTGCTAGGCTTTTATCCTCTAGCAAATCTGTCCCAATAATTAATAACACTTCAGCCGCAGACAATCTGATGCATTTGAGGAAACTGACAGTAGTTCATGGGCCTGGACTTCATATAAATCAACTTTTATAAGCCAAAATGCTAAATACTAATTTAGTTTCCTAAATTCGAACTTACATAGAGTGTCCGGAAACTGGTTGTAAGAATCTGTTCGTTTTCATTCAAATCAAGGATCTGAATGAGAGAGAGCCCAAATTCAATGGTGACTTGTTGCACGTTGTGGGTTTCGGAGAACTTCACCACTGGCGAAACACCATCCACCACGGGCCGGGCCTTCTTTTCGTAGTCGTGTAGGAGATCCTTCAGTAAAATCTTCTCAGCCCAGTCTCCCTTGGGGTCATCTTTATGCACTTGAAAAGAACAAGAGATAAGCTTTTAACGAAGTGCATTTTCGTTTAAAAATAGACTAAGAATAACTTACTAAAAAACTGAACCGGCAGCGAATGCCAGAAAGTAGATATTATTCCGAATTTCCCCAGACCACAAATTCTGCAGTGAGAGCCCAATATTGCTAAATCTTGAGCAAAAATCTACAATATATTTACGATTAGAAATACGTACTAGATTGAATTTTTTATTTTGATAAGCATGCGTCATAAATTCATAATAGTTCGATACATTTATATTCGGCTGGCTGTAAAAACCAAACTGGATAAAAATGAATCGTACCTAAAGAGTTTTTTTGTATTAATGATTCCTTTATATATGCAAATATATTGTCGTGCTCATCATCGCCGGAAGAGGAAGAAGAAGGGGTAAGTGCTGGGACCAAATTTTATTTGTGCTGACGTTTCGAAAACATGCCCGTTCTCATTGTCAGAGCGTAATGCTTACTCTTCCGCCGGCGGAAGAGTTCTATAAAGCTCCCATTATATCTCACTTTACTTTATGCAATTTTACGAGCTAATTATGGGTTCCCTTTGGATGACCGCGTTTTGCAAGTTCTTGAAACTAAAACTGGATGATAAATGTTCATCAAAATTAAACTAAGCATCTAGATAAGTGAGGGTTAGAACATCATAATGAGGTAATACATCCAACTTTCTATCCAAGCAATTCGTATAAAGAAAACTTGCTTTAGAATTCAGCATTACGCACATTATTGCGGTTAGCCATACACTCAAGCATTTTCGAGTAAGAAAATAAAAACACCAGCTACATGCATTCAAAATGTCAAGAGACCAACACAGGATATTAACTGGGATATACGTTTCAGTCGGAATGTAAAACAGACTACATGACTTGCCGGAGGACCCCACAAGTTGGATTGAACTAACAAACGCCCCTTGAATGTTAAAAAGCACCCTCGCGACCACACAGGTTTTGGATAAAAGTTAACATTCAGTTTGAAATACCATGAGGCCATGGGCGGTACATAAGTTATTTCAGCCGCTGTCAGGGTTTACCTCACAGTTGACACACCATGCAAACCGTTCTGACAGCGTGCGTCTGGGGTTGTCAATTCTATCATTTCTGTAGACAATTTCATGTTTGGTGAAAGCTTAGCAACTGAAAAGTTCACTTTACAATTTTTGGTATTTCTTTATTGAAAGCAAATATCTGCAGCAGGCTACCCATGTGCGATTCAGTCTCAGTAAGGCACCTCACTTTCGTAAGGGCCAAAGAAGGCTATACGCTTTATCATGATCTTTTTAATGTGGGAGCTAAAATTGGACTTATGCCAAAAACATTGATGCTTAATGGAACATTTGACAATCATGTACGAAGTATTATCGCTTTGTCACAGAATTAAGTTAATAAACATTTTAATGTCGACTGGCAGGCAGCTTAAGGTACAGATCTGTGTATGCAGACTGGTGAAGTTTCTATCGACAGGGGAGGGATTACTTCGAAGCTTCTATCTAATATTCTTTGTGCGATTATAATGTCTGCTAAAACAAATCACAACCGTCTTTCTGAGCACCTAATTATGTATCCCTGGAAGACATATTCTGAACTTCTTCTAGCAATCAAAGTAATAAACATCTTTCAGTCTTGAGGATGTTTTCCTTAATGCAGTCGTACACCGGAGCCTTAGAGGTTTTGAAGAGGTCGCCAGTGCACTTCTGGTGGATCACACGGCAATTGCTATCAACATGGCTGACTAAAACATGGTCTCTTAATTTAACAGCGTTACTAGGGCATGGCTGGTATCTTTGAATACATAATGCAAGAGTACTTCTTGTAGAATACTAAACAGTAGAAGGCGGTTAAGGCAAAAGACCAGGAAGGAGTAATCTCGCGGGGATATTCTGCCTGCGTAAACTATGGGCTTGACTAGGAGGAGTGCAGAACACATTTTGACGACGTACACTTTTACTTGGGCGTTGTACTAAAATTCGAGAGCCTCTACTAACTGCTGCCTTTTAATTGCCTCAGAAACTAATGGCTTACTCGGAGTAAATAAATTAGAACTACGGTTTTTAGGCGGAAATCAAAAGGTGATGTGAATATTTTGGCCAAATTTCCCCAACTGCAGCTGCAGATTATCAATGCAACACGTGACTGGGCTGCTAGCTAGCACCCGTGTTGCCGAAATAGTTTATCGTGTAACCATTTTTACTGGACTCTGGTTAATCGGTTCACATACTGGCAAAAGATTTTGGACCGATTATACATCTGGTTTAACTAAATGGTTCAGGCTAGTCTTTTGCATTGACTCGGCAGCGTAGTGGATAAAAGTGTCGCAAAAATGGGTATTCATTTAAATAAGAGCAATCGGTCGTATTTAAAAATCTTTCTGGTGCATACAGCAAAGCTTCGCGATTTGCGAAAAAAATTTCATCTCAAAGCGAATTGCTATGCCAGTTAAGCAATAGCTGCAGCATAAAGTATTTTACAGAAGACGATGGAGAGTAACATGCCTCATATTTGTTATAAATGGATGTTATAATGGATGGGAACATATTCGCTTTCTGATCAAACGACTAGCTCATCTTTACGAGAAGTCAGCGAACGACAAAGACCGAAAGCTAAAGTGAACAAACTGTTCTACAAAGGCAAATGCCAGATAATTCGACACGTGGCAGGGAATAACAATAAAATGTTCTGGGCGTTTCGGCTTACGAACAACGCATTAAAATAAATCAACCAAAACTAAAGTCTACTATAAAACACTACGTAACGACCGTCAGAATATGCAGTCTGTAATTATGGTTATTTTTGGATAAAGTATGATATTTTTTCCATGTCCACACGCATGTTTATTCGGATGACGGATGTTTTTGGAAGTGTTTTACCTAACGACACCGATTTTGGGCAACATTACGTGGGTGTGTTTTCTATTGCTCAGTCGTCTGTTGAAAAATATTAACTTCTAAATACTTAACAAATGACGGCTGCATTTTTCAAAAATTAAAATCCAGAAGCGCGTCGAGCAACGATGTTATAAATTATCGTTCAATTTAAGCACGTTATGTTAACATGAAATCAATCCCAAAATGGCAATTAAAAGTGTTGGAGTATTTTTGACAGAGGTCACTTGCAGTAGGTGACCTAAGACATTCATTAAAAAATGAAACTTGAAAACTTTAATTCTTATAATAAAGGATTGTGCATGCACCATTCTCGAGAAGTGTTGTATAAGCTGAAAGGTCTATGTGGCCAACATCTGCTTTTGGTAATTCATTATCGGGCCTTTACAATTATAGTGGTAATAAAAATCGTACAGTTAGACAGGGTTAATTAATGTCATTAAAACTCATCATTTTTACGTCACCCGCGTGGTGAGATCAACGTGTAAAGTTTACTGCAATGGAAGAAGAGAGAGGGGAGGAAATGAGGATGGGATAAGAGCACTCGTCATGGGTTCGGTACGTGGATTGAAAATAACTGTCACGCGTACTTGCTTATAAATTGATATATAATCAATATGCACTTTTCCCACCAATTTCCGCCGCTTCATAAATTTAAGAATGCTATATGGAAAACTTACTCTAATCATCCCTTTTTGTACTTTATGCAGTACATTGCGCTCTACTTGAATTTCGTGTTTTACGAAGGAATGTTTCACTTTTAAGAAAATCTGTAACTTGGGGCAATTTTAAACTTTCGAAATGTTTATTTAAGTAGTATCGTACTAGCAGGCTATTGTTTCTTCTTTTGAAACTGACGTGAGAATTTTTTGTCATTTTTTGTCAGTGTTGCATGTTGACCAAGTGCGTTCAGAGTCATCAATTGTAGTTTCTTCGAGGTAATTACTTTGCCCGAAATTTCCCTCCTTTATCATAAACTCTCAGCTATTTCTTGCTGTAGCAGTGGTACGTTCGGTCTCTTTACCGCCTACTACTAGTCTCCTGTCTGTGTGTGACCCGAACTCTACATGACGTAATGAGGGGAGTAAGTGCTACCAAGACGTTCTCTTCATACGGGAGCGCCAAACAATATCTTGAGTTGTTCTCGTTCATTTTCTCGTCTGGTTAGGGCATTCATCAGTTGACTAAGTTACACCGATGGCCACTTAGATCCACTTTCTGTCAAAGGTATTGTACTTTTTCTGTTGATGTCTCTGATGAAAGCATGGAGGATTAATTCGAAACGTCAGATGAAAAGCTTTACAGTTTCAATCACCAGAACCCTTTTCTTTCACAAAGAGCCAACCCATTCTACATAATAAAATCGTGCGATATAGAGCAGACTTTCAGTCGCTGTGAATAGCTGCATATCCTGCAGACGATTTCAAATGGCAGATTCAGTCATGTAAAGCTTCGCCTTAACGTATCCTTATCCAGAAGATGAAATGGCGAACATACGTTTGTTTTCGATAATTCTCATCAGG